GTGTGTGTGTGTATGCGTGTATGTGTGTGTGTGCGTGTGTGTGTATGTGTGTGTGTGTGCATGTTTGTTTGTGTGTGTGTGAGTGCATGTGTGTGTATGCGTGTATGTGTGTGTGTGTATGCGTGTATGCGTGTATGTGTGTGTGTGTATGCGTGTATGTGTGTGTGTGTATGCGTGTATGCGTGTATGCGTGTATGTGTGTGTGTGTGTGTGTGTGTGTGTGTTTGTTTGGCTGATGTTGGTCCAAGTTGAATGTTTTGGGGGTTTTGGCCTTCTGCCCCGCTCACATGACCAGCCAATCAGCTCTCGCCAACAGTTCATCTCTCAGCCAATCATCAGAGGTCTCTCTCACACGCCTCGATCAACCAGTTCTCACCAGAACTCTTCATTTGTTTTGTTTTTTTCCCTCAACTTGTCCAAACAAAACTCTGACTTCAGTTCTTTCTGTGAAGGCCTTCAACTTCAGTCATTGACTCAGATCTATTCTATTCTGTTCTGCTCTGCTCTGTTCTATTCTGTTCTACTGTATTCTACACTGTAAATATCAAATTTATGGTAAAAAACCGTCAGCTGTGGTTGCTGGAATTTTACTGTAAAAAAATACAGTAGCAACGTTTTAGGTTTTACGGTTTTAACTTAAATTTACAGTTAAATACCGTAATTTCATTAACTGATATAATGTTAATATACCAACCTACTGAAGTACTGAAATCTGTTTTGTATGTTTGTAATACACTGATAACCAGCAAATGCAGGAGGTGATGAGAGAGTCACATGATGAACCAAAGCCAATCACAGGCAGCTTTTAAATAATAACACATATAGAAGGTGCACAGACACCAAACACCATCACGGTAACACACATGAAACTGAAGTAATGCAATAAACATTAATTTAACAACATTAGGTGTAACACACAACCCTAGTATACACAACTGAGAAGAAAAAACTAAGAAAAAACAGTTATTTCAACAATAAAACATCAAATTTGAAATGTAACGCAGGGAATTCTGGGAATGTCAATTTACGGTTATTAACTGTAAATTATACAGTCTTTTTCACTTCCAAAAACGGTATACTACCGTAAAATTAATGTCCAATACATGTAATGTCCAATTCAGAGATCAGGGAATGTTTGCAGGAGGATCCAGTTACCCTGAACCCTGCTAACCCACAAACACACCGTGAGCCGTGATTGGTGCCTGAAAATCCACCTCGTCCAATCAGACAGCATCTCACAGCACTGCAGATGTTTGTGTGTGTTTGTTGTTCTTGCTGAACTAGTTCTTATCTACACACACACACACACACAGCGTAATTCAACAGGCGAATGAACATACTAAACAATATTCTATTAAATATATAAAAATGCTGAGGGTTATGTTTAGTGTTAGGGGTTAGAAAATAACATTAGCTCAGTATAAAAACCAGTACGCCTATAGAAAGAGTGTGTGTGTTGGGCTGCTGGAGGTTATTTCAGACTGATGGATCATGTTCTGTGTGATTATTTCAGGACATCTGCAGTGTTTGTGTGTCTCCTTTGCTCAGAGGTTTCTTCTTAAAGGAACGGTTCACTCAAAAGTGAGAATTGTGAAAACGTGATCATCCTCAATTCAGATCAGGATGAGTTTGTTTCTTCATCAGGTTTGTAGAAATGTAGCACTGCATCAGTGTCTCAGCAATGGGGTGAATGGGTGCCGTCAGAATGAGAGTCCAAACAGCTGATAAAAACATCACAATAATCCACAGCACTCCAGTCCATCAGTGAACATCTGGAGAAGACAAAAGCTGAAACACATCCAGCATTAAGACGTTTTTAACTAAAATACCATAGAGTCCATAATCCATAATAACTCTTCCTCCAGTGAGTCAGTGTTCTGGTGTGAATCAGGAGAGAAATCTGCACAGATCAAGCAGCGTTTAAACAGCTCTAAACACATCTGTGGCTGGATTCTGATGTGAGAGACAACAGCAGATGCACTTTTTCACTAGAGGAAGAGTTATATAATAATATATAAGCGCTGTATATCTGATCTCAGGGTTCTGGGCACGTGAACTGGGTCAGATGATCGGTTTCCAGCACCCCACCATCCCAGTGCATCACCAGTACGTCGTCACAGCGACGGTTCCCGAGGTGAAGGCGCTGGAGGCGGAGCTTCCGGTGATCCGGGATCTGGAGGGCTCGTATTACCTGCGTCAGGAGCGAGACGGCCTGCTGTTCGGACCCTACGAGAAGGAGGAGAAGATGAAGCTGCAGGACTCGTGGATCAGAGACGGAGTTCCTCCAGGTCAGCACACGATCACAGAGAGCAGAGCACAGTGAAAGCACAGCACAGTCAGAAATAATCAGGTGTGTGTCGCAGGTTTCGGTAAGGAGCTGTTTGAGTCCGATCTGGACCGGATCATGGATCATGTGGAGAGGGCTATGGAGATGGTGCCGGTTCTGAAGAACGCTGACATCATCAACATTGTGTCCGGACCAATCACATACACACCTGACCTGCTGCCCATGATCGGACCGCACCAGGGAGCCAGAAACTACTGGACCGCCATTGGCTTCGGGTGAACACACACACACACACTCGCTCACACACACGTTTACATTTGTGAAAAGTGTGGACTCTCCATAGGCGTAATGGTTTTTATACTGTACAGACCGTATATTCTATTGCCCTACACCAACCCTACCCCTAAACCTACCCCTCACAGGAGACTTTCTGCTATTTCAGATTTTCAATACACTCCATTCTGTGTGATTTATAAGCGTTTTGAAAAGTGGGGACATGGGGTAATGTCCTGAAAAGTCACCTTCTCCTTGTAATACCTGTCATACCTTTGTCATTATACACATTTATGTCCTCATTTGTCACAAAAACGCGCGCACACACACACACACACACACACACTCATATATACACACACACTCTCATATATACACACACTCACTCATATACACTCATATATAAATATACACACACATACACACACTCATATACACACACACACATACACACACACACTCATATACACACACACACACACAGTCCATTCAGTACAATGTTGATTCAATTCAATAACTGTGATTGCTGGTTCTACAACTCAAATGTGAATTTTGAAACTTTTCTGCTTTAAAAATGATTTTTTTCCCCACAAGGACTACAACTATAAACTCATTTTATTTGCCTTTTAATCAGAAACAATGAATGACCAGATTGCTTATAGAATACAGATATATACAGATGCTAGAATTGTAATTTATAACAGAATTATAGATATTATATACAGATTATAGAATAAATAAATAAATAAAAATTATATATATATATATAAAATCTGAAATACATATATACAGATAAATAGACACAAACACGCACACACACACACACACACATATATAAAAATACACACACATTCACACACTCATATACACACACAGACACACACACACACAGTCCATTCAGTACAATGTTGATTCAATTCAATAACTGTGATTGATGGTTCTACAACTCAAATGTGAATTTTGAAACTTTTCTGCTTTAAAAATGATTTTTTTCCCCACAAGGACTACAACTATAAACTCATTTTATTTGCCTTTTAATCAGAAACAATGAATGACCAGATTGCTTATAGAATACAGATATATACAGATGCTAGAATTGTAATTTATAACAGAATTATAGATATTATATACAGATTATAGAATAAATAAATAAATAAAAATTATATATATATATATAAAATCTGAAATACATATATACAGATTATGAAATTATAATTTATTATAGTTATTATAATTATACAGATTATCAAATACACACTTATATTCCTATTTAGAATAGACACATATTTCATATCAAGTCAAGTCCCCTTTATTTGTATAGCTCTGCATACAATACTGATCGTGTCACAGCAGCTTTACAGTATTAAACAGAAAAATAGTTTGTCAATAATGCAAGAGGACAATAACAGAGTAATTTTTCAGCTAAACACATGAAATGTAAATAACTGATTCCACATGTGATCATCTTGTGAACATCATACTGTGGTGATCAGCGGAGATGATGATTGACAGGTGCGTGCCGTGTGATTGACAGGTACGGTATCATTCACTCTGGAGGAGTGGGGAAGTTTCTGAGCGACTGGATCGTGAGCGGGGAGCCGCCGTATGATCTGATCGAGTGCGACCCCAACCGCTACGCTCACTGGACCAGCGTCCCGCACCTGTGCGCCAAAGCCAGAGAGTCCTACGGCTTCAACAACGTCGGTGAGTGGTGTGACAGGAGGCGCGTGGATGCTGGTGTGATGTGTGGTGTAGATGATCTCTGCTCTCTGACTGGTTTCAGTGGGTTACCCGAAGGAGGAGCGCTTCGCGGGTCGCCCGACTAACCGGGTCAGCGGCGTCTATGAGCTGCTGAAGGACAGATGCTCTATGGGTTTCCACGCAGGATGGGAGCAGCCGCATTACTTCCACAAACCCGGAGACGACACCGGATACAAGTGAGACACACCGATCTACACTGAGCAGATGTCAAAAATCATTCACTGGTGATGAGAAATGAGATGAACACTAGCACTCAAACACTGGAGGTCGGTGGGGTTTAAAATGTTTCTGAAAGAAGTCTCTTCTGCTCATCAAGGCTGCATTTATTTGATCAGAAATACAGTAAAACAGTGACATATTATTATAAAGTAAAATATCTGTTTTCTATGTGAATCTCTGTTAAACTGTAATGTATTTCTGTGATGCGCAGCTGTATTTTCAGCATCATTACTCCAGTCTTCAGTGTCACATGATCTTCAGAAATCAGTATAATATGCTGATCTGCTGCTCGAGAAACATTTCTGATGATTATCAATGTTGAAAACACTAATATTTGTGTGAAACCGTGACACATTTTAGTTTTCAGGGTTCACAGATGAACAGAAAGTTCAAAAGAACAGCATTTATTTGAAATAGAAATCTTTTGTAACATTATAAATGTCTTTACTGTCACTTTTCGTCAATTTAATGTGTCCTTGAATAAAACTAATAATTTTTTTAAATCTTACTGACCCCAAGCGTTTGACCAGTCGTGTAGATGATGCTATGATGAAGTGAAATCCGCTGCTGTGGTGTAGTGATTGTGAGTGCGTGTCTCTCTCGGGTCCTGTGTGCAGACCCAGCTTCAGAAGGACTAACTGGTTCGGGCCGGTCGGCCGCGAGTGTAAACTGGTGATGGAGGGTGTGGGTGTGATTGACCTTTCACCTTTTGGGAAGTTCAACGTTAAAGGAGAAGATTCGCACCGGCTGCTCGACCGGCTATTCGCCAACACACTGCCAAAGGTGAGAGAGAGAGAGAGAGACAGAGAGACACACACAGAGAGAGAGAGAGAGAGTGAGCAGGAAAATCACAGTAATATGTGTTATAGCAGTAAGTTTTATGTCTGAAATTTTTGATTGACAGGAATTGACAGTGTGTGTGTGTGTGTGAGTGAGAGTGTGTGTGTGTGTGTGCTGATTGAATCATGATGATCTGATGTGTCTCAGGTGGGTCAAACCAACATCAGTCACATGTTGACCCCACGGGGGCGTGTCTACGCTGAGATCACAGTTACCCAGACTGCACCTGGAGAGTTTCTGCTCATCACAGGCTCCGGGTCGGAGCTGCACGATCCGGCTATTCGCCAACACACTGCCAAAGGTGAGAGAGAGAGAGAGAGACAGAGAGACACACACAGAGAGAGAGAGAGAGAGAGTGAGCAGGAAAATCACAGTAATATGTGTTATAGCAGTAAGTTTTATGTCTGAAATTTTTGATTGACAGGAATTGACAGTGTGTGTGTGTGTGTGAGTGAGAGTGTGTGTGTGTGTGTGTGCTGATTGAATCATGATGATCTGATGTGTCTCAGGTGGGTCAAACCAACATCAGTCACATGTTGACCCCGCGGGGGCGTGTCTACGCTGAGATCACAGTTACCCAGACTGCACCTGGAGAGTTTCTGCTCATCACAGGCTCCGGGTCGGAGCTGCACGATCTGCGGTGCGTCTCTCACACAGACACACACACATTATACACACACACTTACATCAGTAACTATTACTATAATCTGAGGGCTGAAGGAGCCAGTGTGTGTAACTTGAGAATATCTGGAGTGTGTGTGAGTGTCAGTATCACAGCTGTCTGGTTTCTGCCCCTTGTCTCATCCAATCAGGAAACAGCACACACACACACACACACACTGCCCCCTTCTGGATGAAAGTGAGTTGACCTGCAGCACTAAGAGAGACTAACAGATGCAGCTGTTAATAAGTCAGACTTCACTAGTACTGGTGCTGATAGTGATGAGCTGAAACCTGTTAAAGTTCAGCATTTGTGAGCTCCAGACATGAATGATTTATCAGATCATGTGTGAAAACATCTAGAATCCAGCAACAACACCTTAGCAACTGCCTAAGAACACTCAGAACACCCTAGCAACCGCACTGCATCACCTCTTCGTAGCACTGTAATGAGTTTTGTACAAACATCACTCTCATTCTCCTCATTAAACTGCACGACTCCAGTTGTTGTCTGTGTTTTGGTTGAATGGTGTGTGCCGCTGTGGTTTCTGTGTGTCTCAGGTGGATCGAGCACGAGGCGGCTGACGGCGGGTATCATGTGAGCGTGTCTAACGTGACGGATGAGATCGGTGTTCTGGGCGTCGCCGGGCCGAAATCACGGATGGTTCTTCAGAAGTTGACAGATGAAGACATGAGTGACACGGCCTTCAGATTCCTGCACTGCAGATCCATGCAGCTCGCCGGAGTTCCAGTCCGCGCCATACGCATATCCTACACAGGTGACGCTGACCGCTGCATGCTAATATCATGCTAATCGACAGGACGTATGCAGATGAGCAGGTGTCCTCATACTGCGTGTGTGTAGGTGAGTTGGGTTGGGAGCTCTACATGGACATGCAGAACATGTCAGCGGTGTATCAGGCTCTGATGGAAGCAGGACAAGACGAGAACATCGATAACTTCGGCACGTACGCCATGAGCTCACTGAGACTGGAGAAAGGCTTCAGAGCCTGGGGAGCTGAGGTGCTACACACACACACACGCACTCATACACACACACACACTCATGCACACACACACACTCATACTCACACACACACTCATACACACGCACCCATGCACGCACACACACACACACACATTGAGAACATCGATAACTTCGGCACGTACGCCATGAGCTCACTGAGACTGGAGAAAGGCTTCAGAGCCTGGGGAGCTGAGGTGCTACACACACACACACACACTCATACACCCACACACACTCATACACACGCACCCATGCACGCACACACACACACACTCATACACACACACACACACGCATACACGCACACACACACTCATACACACACACACACACGCATACACGCACACACACTCATACACATGCACCCATGCACGCACACACACACACACACACACACACACACACACATCAACGCACGCGCACTCTTTCA